GGGATTCATATTATTTCCATTAATTAGCTCCCTTGCCTAGCTCGTGAATTATTAAAATATATTCAATACTATTAATGCATTATTCATAGAGCTCTTTGTATTTCGATTTCAAAATATTAAATTCCCGCATAAACAGAGGTGTTTTATTAAAATTTATTGAACATGTAAAAATATGAATGATGTTGAAGAATTAAAGTTATTTAAAAAAAAATCTATTACACTTTAGCATTACGTAAATCTAAAAAAAAAAATGATTGAAAAACGATTTTTTTGAAATGTTGCAAACAGGTTTAGCTTATAAATCGCCTTATATTGAAACCCCGGTTGCAGAATTCTGGTACATGTGTATCCTTGCAATGATGAGGCTAAAGTATGTTTGAATTTAGAATGCAATTATTGCATATTTGATTCGAATTGGCGGTGGATTTAAGAGTTAAAGATTTACAGTGCAGGTATAATCATTTATCCCATACATCTCTAAATCTCTATCTCCCCACCACCCAAACCCAATTAATTAAATCTATTTAAGAAAACCAGTATTCCGTCGAGACGAAGCACAATGAGAACTTCTTATCGTAACCTCACCCCCTTCTTTCAACTTCAACCAGAATAAGGGAACATCGGGCCGTGCTAACCGATGCGTAACTAAGCATAACATCTAAGCTAGTCTATCCCAAACTTCTACTGATAAAAATATCTTTTCATTTCAGGGTCACCAACTCTGTTTGATTGTCTTGTGACGGGTGGTTCGCTTTGTGTCCGGTCACAGCCGTGACGCTCGGTGGAATCGTGACAGAGACGCACGCCATTGAAGGGTCACAGCAGTACATCAGGGGTTCTCCAATTTTTTAAAAATTTAAATGATAGTCCGTTGTCTCCCAGAAGAGTAGGAATTCTTATGATGCATACATCACTGTCTGGTTGGGGCCTTGGCAGCATTACAAAAACTTGTTTTAAAAACCAGCAATCTGATCAAATATATTTATTTGAAACGCAAATTAAAAATTAAAAGTGTATGTTAATTTTAGATACAAATGAAATCAGTTTAAAAATAAAAGTTGCTGGTATGAAAAACAAATTTCGCCAGATCGATTAATCTGGAGAAAAAATGCCATGCATCTATGACGTTAAAATGAATATTAGTAAACAATTATTCAAAAATTTTTGAGGTTTACGTGAACTTACTGGTTAACTGATATAGTTTCATATTCAATTATATTATTTGGTAGTCGGCCTAATTGCCCCAAATATCCAGTTGGTAAATAAGTGGCTTACCTCATCTGTCAGGCCATGCCATAGATCATTTCCGTATCGCCAATTCAGGACATTAAGCTTATTATCCGAGTTAATCGTATCGACAGTTGAGAAAAAAAAATAGAGGTGGCGAATAGAGTTCTATGCGTGATTTTCAAGTCAATTGCCGGCACATGGTAGAGTTTGATAGAACTGTTTAAACAGGAAGTTAAATAATGCATGGATTCGTGACATGCTTTATTAGTGGGAAACATATATAATTTCAAAATAAGTATCCTACAAAAATAAACGATTCTGCCTCATCAAAGATGTGTTTTTAAAGTAGTACTACCACAGAGTTAATCAATGGCTCCCACAAAGTTCACCAAAGGCTCCCAAAAAGTTCATCAAAGGCTCCCACAAAGTTCATCAATGGCTCCACAAAGTTCATCAATGGCTCCCACAAAGTTCATCAATGGCCCCCACAAAGTTCATCAATGACCCCCACAAAGTTCATCAATGGCTCCCACAAAGTTCATCAATGGCTCCCACAAAGTTCATCATTTAGGAAGTAATTCTGCGGATTGGCCAATGGAACATTAATGTAAGTCGCATGACATCAAGATTGACACAAGATGGCCTCCAAAATGTCGGGAATGGACATCTAAAATGGGGCAAAAAACCTTAAAATTATGGCGCATGGAATTTGTAAGTGTCACGCGTACAGTATCATCTTCTACGTCATTGACGCTTTGACAAGGTACAGAATTGGAACGTAGAAATTATCATCTTCTACCTTAGAAATCTGACACAATAAAGCACAACGCAATCTGATCTTTCAAACATAAAATGTACATTAAACAATTTGATTTTTCTAAATAAGACTAAATGCGTTTCTTGACAGCTTTCAACAGATTCACTTAATTTGTATTTATTGTCAATTTGCTTAACGATTTAACAAAGATTTAAAGCTGAACATCTTTAACAGTTTTTGGACATAGAAAGCCCGGCTCATTTGTGTCTACAACAAAGTACATGTTTTTTTTTTTCCCAGACCTGACGGTTACCCACTCCCGCGATTTGAATATGTTGCATGTATTCAGCGGCGGATCATGGATCTAGTGTTGATTGGATCAATTTATTTTGGGTTGTAGTTGTAACACAAGCAGTCTTTTTTGTTCCAGTCATTTTAATTCTTGTATTTGGCATTGATTGGTGCGCTTTTAGGTGATTGGAAATATTTTATTTATTAACCTTGGCTGCGACAAGTATATTGTCGTCTGACGTCATATTTGTGTAATTTTGGTTGTCGCTGCAACTAGCATTAGCTAACACGATATCGCATGTCTGATGCATTCTGTGTGTAACCCTTGAGGGCCCCGCCGCTAGCCGTTGCTAACAGGAAATTCTAAATTGGGCAGCTTGGAAAGGGCGTGGACTAATATTTAAAATAAATGTAATCTTCCAAGAAGACATAACAATCAATGAAGTCTATCTCCAACATGTATTATTATTCCAACCTCCAGGGACGTATTTCAAGTGTAATATGGGTGTAACTGTCTTCATGTGGTAACATTTTAAGTCTTTCAAACTGGGAAGACAAAATTCTGATGAATCAACAAGATAAAAAATTAGCGTTTGAAATAAGAGGGAGAGGGACAACGCAAAGATACACTTAGCAATGGCAGTCATACTACACAAAATCCTTTTCAATAGTAATTCAAGCAAATTTATACTTTTAAAATATATTCCATTTCGTATCTGATGTTTATTCCTTACTCTAGTAATGAGATGATGTTTGTCAGAAGTGGGGTATATCGGAAATTATGAACAATGTTGTGAAATTAATGGTTTTGATATAGCTGTGTACCTGAGGTTCGGTAGCATGGAAGAAACACATTATTATGGGCCTTTGAAAATGATCTTGATATCGTTTTTAATCGTTTTTATTTTTAGGTTCGCATAGAAAACCTCTGAAACTACTTTGTGAATAACAACTAATCCTTTTGACCCAAAATTATCATTAATTTCCACGTACACCACCCAAATAACTAAAACGTCAAATTTCCCCCTTGATAATATTTTCTTATAATCTATTTTCCAATACTGATTTTTTTTTTTCAAAACAAAAAATATGATTCCTCTCTACAATTTAAAAAAAACAACTTTTAACATAAATAGTTTCATTACCTTTTATTACAATCGATATGTTTGATGCATTTAAAGGTTCATTTGAACAACTTTCTTAAACGACTACTCATCGGCGAACACTTCAAATAATTCTTCACATTTTCAAACAAATCAAAATATGAAATCAATATTTGTTTACAAATTGCATATTAGAAGGCGTGCTTTAATATTTTGTTTTGACTCTTAGAATGCAACAGTTTGTTGTGGGGCTCAAGGGCCGTGCAGTCAGAAACGTGTCATTTCCGACTTGGTGAAAGCAGGCACCATTTCCACCATTGCCTTGGCCAGCTGTCTCTTGTGATGTCTCGTTACAATGAAAAATAAATGATATATCAAGTATTTTAAGTTTCCTTTTCAATACATATATATATTATTTAATTAGATAAATTATAAATCCAACAAAATATGGTAGTGTTTGTGGCAGTGGTCGTGTTGGTAGGGTAAGTCTAGGATTGGAAGCAATTCCTGATCCCCCCCCGCCCCCTTTTGTGTAGACGCCCCTACACCAACGGTGACATTTTACCTGTTCATTTATTTTTATGACGTCAGAATGACAAGCGATCATTGTGCAAGGTTTCGTCTGCTTATACTTGTCCATTTTTCAGAGTTAGTGGCGGAGACTTTAATGCCACCCGGAGCATTCGACAATCTAGCTACACTAGTAACCCAACAATACCATTTCTCAGCGTGTCTATCAGCTTTTATGGTTTTCAACGGTACCGGTCACCGTCTGAGTAAAAGTTATGACAATGAATTCAGCGTGGTGGGTGTCAAAAATAAGATATTTGTACACCATAAACATTTAAATATAAATGTTCCATTCTTTTTTACATTCGAATACACTTTGGTCAATGGATTATATGAAGGGAGACAAACCTGTTTCAAGTCAATAACATTCAAACATTTTTCTCAATCATACATTTTATTGTGTACTTATCAATGCAATTTAATGACACTATTTTTAGAAATGGTATTAAATTTTGTTGGTATAGACCAGATCTCAACAACGTAAAGTATACTAAAAACATACTGTAGCTAAAATTCATACGAATGTATTACAAAGATTTTGCTCTAGATATAGTGTTAGTATTGGACAAATTGTCTATCACCGCACCTTGGTATAAGGCACATGATGTCAATGTGCTGGTTCATCTCTTGTAGACATTCTCGCGGCACATCTTAAATAATCTGGCGGCACAACCGTGTGCTGCGACACACTGGATGCGGAGCTTAGGTTCAAAACATGGTGAAAACATTCATGTGCTTGAAAGGTTTAACAAATGAGGCTAAAAGAAGTTTAAAATTAGAATGCAATTTGATTCAATTCTTCAATGGAATGGCCGAGTTTGAGCTGTTCATTGTTAAGTGTAATGAAATTCTTCATGCATTTCAAAACACTCCCCCTCCTCTCTCTCCCCCACCCCCCACTAAATTATTCATAATCGACCCCTTGGCTTTGTGTTTGCTTATCATACTACTCTACTACGTGCAATATCTTTTTACCGTCAGGTTACCAAACCTGTTCGTGTGAATGGTGATAAGTCGGACGCTTTGTGTCTGATCGTAGCCGTGATGTTCCGTGGAATAATGAGATCACCGCGCAGCAAAGAGACCCGCGAAGGATAGACATTGAAGGGAGTCCAAGCAGTGCACGAGGGGAGGTCACAAAATAATAATACGTCTCTGTATCCAGTGGTGTGTAAATTCTTATAATGCACACATTATTTTCTGCCGGGGCTAAGCAGAATTTAAAAAAAAAAATGTTCTGATCCAAATAAAATAATAATATATTCTTTTTCTCTTTTAATAATTTTTTTTTTTTCAGATGAACCACCTCCTTGTAAAGTCTTAGCCCTACAATTTATATCATCGTGTTAAGCGTGCTAGCGACGTCCCAAGTCGAGCCCCGTTGGCAATCCCAACTGCTCTATTGACAGGAACTTATCAAGGTAAATTTATATTTTAATAATTGATGAACTGCATTCAGGTTGTGTAAAGAATAAATAAGATCAAATTATGTTTGAACGTGTCTATTAATTCAAAGTTAACATATCTTTTTTCTTAAATTTCATAAATTTGTATTTTTGTGGCGGAGAAAAAAAAAAGGGGTGGGGGGCGGGGTTATCACATTTCTTCATATTTAAATGTGGCATTTCAGAAGACTGGATATTTTGTAATGGAAATAAAATGCGTACATTTTGGGAACAAAATAGCTACCATGTAAGAACTACTAAATTGTGTTGTATGGACCACTAAAGTGTGTTGTATGGACCACTAAAGTGTGTTGTATGAACCACTAAAGTGTGTTGTATGAACCACTAAAGTGTGTTGTATGAATCACTAAAGTGTGTTGTATGAATCACTAAAGTGTGTTGTATGGACCACTAAACTGTTTTGTATGAACCACTAAAGTGTGTTGTATGGACCACTAAAGTGTGTTGTATGGACCACTAAAGTGTGTTGTATGAATCACTAAAGTGTGTTGTATGAACCACTAAAGTGTGTTGTATGAATCACTAAAGTGTGTTGTATGGACCACTAAAGTGTGTTGTATGGACCACTAATGTGTGTTGTATGAACCACTAAAGTGTGTTGTATAAACCACTAAAGTGTGTTGTATGGACCACTAAAGTGTGTTGTATGGACCACTAAAGTGTGTTGTATGGACCAATAAAGTGTGTTGTATGAACCACTAAAGTGTGTTGTATGGACCACTAAAGTGTGTTGTATGGACCAATAAAGTGTGTTGTATGGACCACTAAAGTGTGTTGTATAAACCACTAAAGTGTGTTGTATGAATCACTAAAGTGTGTTGTATGAATCACTAAAGTGTGTTGTATGGACCACTAAACTGTTTTGTATGAACCACTAAAATGTGTTGTAAGGACCACTAAAGTGTGTTGTATGGATCACTAAAGTGTGTTGTATGGACCACTAAAGTGTGTTGTATAAACCACTAAAGTGTGTTGTATGAATCACTAAAGTGTGTTGTATGAATCACTAAAGTGTGTTGTATGGACCACTAAACTGTTTTGTATGAACCACTAAAATGTGTTGTAAGGACCACTAAAGTGTGTTGTATAAACCACTAAAGTGTGTTGTATGAATCACTAAAGTGTGTTGTATGAATCACTAAAGTGTGTTGTATGGACCACTAAACTGTTTTGTATGAACCACTAAAATGTGTTGTAAGGACCACTAAAGTGTGTTGCATGGACCACTAAAGTGTGTTGTATAAACCACTAAAGTGTGTTGTATGGACCACTAAAGTGTGTTGTATGGACCACTAAAGTGTGTTGTATGGACCAATAAAGTGTGTTGTATGAACCACTAAAGTGTGTTGTATGGACCACTAAAGTGTGTTGTATGGACCACTAAAGTGTGTTGTATGAATCACTAAAGTGTGTTGTATGGACCACTAAAGTGTGTTGTATGAATCACTAAAGTGTGTTGTATGGACCACTAAAGTGTGTTGTATGGACCACTAATGTGTGTTGTATGAACCACTAAAGTGTGTTGTATGGACCACTAAAGTGTGTTGTATGAACCACTAAAGTGAGTTGTATGGAACAATAAAGTGTGTTGTATGAACCACTAAAGTGTGTTGTATGAAAAACTAAAGTGTGTTGTATGGACCACTAAAGTGTGTTACATGAACCACTAAAGTGTGTTGTATGAACCACTAAAGTGTGTTGTATGAATCACTAAAGTGTGTTGTATGGACCACTAAAGTGTGTTGTATGAACCACTTAAGTTGGCTTTATGGACCACTAAAGTGTGTTGTACGAACAACTAAAGTGTGTTGTATTGACCACTAAAGTGTGTTGTATGGACCACTAAAGTGTGTTTTATGAACCATTAAAATGTATTGCATGGACCACTAAAGTGTGTTGTATGGACCACTAGAGTGTGTTTTATGAACCATTAAAATGTATTGCATGGACCACTAAAGTGTGTTGTATGGACCATTAAAGTGTGTTGTATGGACCACTAAAGTGTGTTGTATTGGCCTCCAAACTGTGTTGTAGGGACTTCTAAAGTGTGGTGAATAAACATCTCATATGTAGTAAATTAATGTCTAAAATCGGAAATGTACCTTACAAGTATGTAAATAAGTCCCCTGGAGTGTAGCAAATGGACGAATCGCGATATTGAATTCTTCAGCGTGAGGTTTTCGAGATAAGATTCTTCGTGAATGATGCGTTGTTGAAGTAAAAAAATTAGAAGATAGACGCTCAACCTGTTCTACATAAAATAAAATTCAGTACGGTTTTATTTAAAAAAAAAACAACAACATATAAATCTACAATAAAATTAATAAAAAAAAAAATGTTATCCTTTTTTTTAGAAATGCTAAAGGAGTTGTTATTAAAAAAAAACATTGTTTTTACAAATTAATATAAGTTGTATATGTAAAGTTGTATATTGATTAACCAAACATTTAAAGTTTATTACAGTTTTTAACATAGAGGCCCGAATCTTTTGTATGTACAATAAAGTCCTTGCTCCTTTCAGACGTGAGGGTTACCCAATGTCGCGGTTAGAAGATATTGCATGTATTCCGCTGAAGATAAAATACCTTTTTGTTGATTGGATCAATACATTTATTTGAGTGTAACCAATTCATGCTTTTTGTTCTATTGATTTTAATTCATGCAATGGCCTTTAATTAAAGCTTCTTAACAGATTTTAATTTGTTTGATAACCGTTGGCTATGACGGGTATTTTGGCGTCAGACGGTATCTTTGTGCAGTTCTTGTTGTCATTAGTTAACAATATAAATATTCTGTGGCTGACACACTCTTTGTGTTGCCCCCCCCCCCTTGTCTTTGTGACTAGCATTAGCTAACACGACATTCCAAGTATGGCAGGTCTGGACAGGGCGTTGACTAATTTAAAAAAAAAAAATACAAACCATTTCCCAAACATCTGAGCAATTAACTCTATCTCCAAAAATAATTTTTATCCTTACCTTTTAGGACTTGTTAAGGTATCATATGGAAAGGACTGCGCAGATGTTGTCAATTGTGCTGTTGGTTGGTTTAGGCATTAAATATATAGTACAATAGTATAGAGTACATCAATTTCTTTCTTTCAAGCAAAATTGCTTATATATATCAATAGATATTGATATGGACAATATTTTGTTCAGTTATATTGAACCTGAAATCTTAAAAACTTCAAATTGAAATAAGGTGACCTTTAATTCAATATCTGTTCATGACTCTATCACATTGATTACCCTCAATACAAAAGTATGGAAGTTAGGGCGAATTTAAGTCACGTATGTAAATCTATTAGTCAAGTCTCTGCATCAATCTGTTAATGTACTGTCTTCTTAAACATTTATATAGAAACAAGGAGTTTTGCGCAAAAACTTTCTTTAAATGTTCATACATTTAAATGGAATAAATCTTTCTCGCACGTAGAAACATATATATAGACAAGGCAACAAACAGACATTCGGCCTGGTGGATAGACAAATATATGGGTAGATGGATATGTGGAAAGATGGACAGCTGGCTAATTTGATGAAAATAAAAACCCGAAATATGGAGTCATAGAATAAAATTGCTAGAGAAGCTTGACTCATCTGTATGTCCGCTCAGTTCATCCCTTAAAACAAACCTAACAATGCTAAACGTCTGTCCGAATACATGTCTACCAATTGATTCGTATCACTATGGACTGCCTTCAATCACTTCATCAAACCTGACAATGCTAAATGTCTATCCCACTACCTTTCAAGCCTAAAACTTGATTCGTATCTCTATGAACTGCCGTCAATCACTTCATCAAACCTGACAATGCTAAATGTCTGTCACACTACATGTCAAGCCTATAACTTTATTCGTATCTCTATGGACTGCCGTCAATCACTATATAAAACCTAACAATGCTTAATGTCTGTCCCACTACACGCCAAGCCTAAAACTTCATTCATATCTCTATGGACTGCCGTCAATCATTTCATTAAACCTAACAATGCTAAATGTCTGTCCCACTACATGTCAAGCCTAAAACTTGATTCGTATCTCTATGAACTGCCGTCAATCACTTCATCAAACCTGACAATGCTAAATGTCTGTCACACTACATGTCAAGCCTATAACTTTATTCGTATCTCTATGGACTGCCGTCAATCACTATATAAAACCTAACAATGCTTAATGTCTGTCCCACTACACGCCAAGCCTAAAACTTTATTCATATCTCTATGGACTGCAGTTAATCACTTCATGAAACCTAACAATGCTAAATGTCTGTCCCACTACATGTCAAGCCTAAAACTTTATTCGTATCTCTATGGACTGCCGTCAATCACTTCATGAAACCTGACAATGCTAAATATCTGTCCCACTACATGTCAAGCCTAAAACTTTATTCGTATCTCTATGGACTGCCGTCAATCACTTCATGAAACCTAACAATGCTAAATGTCTGTCCCACTACATGTCAAGCCTAAAACTTTATTCGTATCTCTATGGACTGCCGTCAATCACTTCATGAAACCTGACAATGCTAAATATCTGTCCCACTACATGTCAAGCCTAAAACTTTATTCGTATCTCTATGGACTGCAGTCAATCACTTCATGAAACCTAACAATGCTAAATGTCTGTCCCACTACACGCCAAGCCTAAAACTTTATTCATATCTCTATGGACTGCAGTCAATCACTTCATGAAACCTAACAATGCTAAATGTCTGTCCCACTACATGCCAAGCCTAAAACTTTATTCGTATCTCTATGGACTGCGGTTTAGCTTTGTGCTACAAGGCGAAAATCTGCATTTGATTAGAGTGAAAAAATAAATAAATCAATAACAAACAGGCAGGTTCTTGAGTCACCCCTGCAATGCATATTATTCTGTTTAATACTGAATATGAAGCTATTTTCTAAGGTGTAATTGAATCAATTGAACCTTTTGATTTTTATAGATATAAAAGCATGAGACGTCTCTTCATTGTCTACCTGTCATACAGATTTGATTACAACCGAGGCAGACCCTGGTGACGCATCATGAGATCTGTCCCGGAATAGCTCAATCGAACTGCTTACATTGAACAAATTACATTTATATTTCCGCAATGTTAATTACAATAATTATCCCGTCGCTGCTGGTATACTAATTCACATTCAACTGAGTTAGAAAAATCAAATAAACACCTTTTTTTTTGAAAAAAAGATTCCCCATAATTCATGAGGAAAACAATGCCTTTATTGATTTTATGATTGAGAGCATGGAATAAGGAAACACGCAGTCTTAAAAGAGGAAGTGTGTAAAAAAGAAGTAAAGAAGGGAATTACATAAGACGATAACATTGCAATTTATTTTGGTTTTTAGATATATATCATGCTTTTTTGTTACGACTGCCCTTGAATATGTATTCGTTTACTGGAATAAACATGACCATTTTAAAGGAATATTTAATTTTTGTTGTTGTTTCCCAGCCCTCAGCACCTCTTTTTACACGATGTTTAGCCTCAAATCGATCTTTTAGTTCGAAATTTATTCATCTTAATCTACACTCTAAAACTAAAACACTTCAGTGCTTTAATCACTAGCCTTAATGATCTTTAACTTCACATAGTATTTGTCCGAGACCACGCTCTCAATGACATCTCATTAATTCTATTATAAATGGCCGTAAATATATCTTTGACTGCGCATAATATTTTTATCAGCCAACCCTCTGAGAACTCCATCTTTATTCCAACATTTTCATTAATCTTCTTCTTCTTCTATATCTTAAGGGCCCACGATCAATTTATAGATCATTTTGGCTCCTATGCATGTAGATGGGATTTGCAATGTTTCTGTTACTGGTGTTGATGAGGAAATCATTCACTAGGGGTTTGAAGGCTTGAGGCAATAGACACAAATGTGTCTAGTGTTGTCGCCTCAACCGTTCCTTTTGAAAGATTGTTCCAGTCCCTGATTGTCTTGGGCAGGAATGAGCAGCTCCTATACTGGCTTCTTGCTGGTATGAGCCTGAATTGCCTGTCATGGCCTCGTCGCTGTCTATGGGGGAGAGGGACGAGTTTCTGTTTAATACTGGAACAGTGGACCAGCCCATTATTTATCTTGTACATCATGGAGAGCCTGGATTGTCGTCGTCGTTTCTCCAATGGTGACCAGCCTAGTGTTTCTAGCATGCTGCCAACACTAGAGGTATTCCTGTAGCGGTTTAGGACAAAACGTGCTGCTCGTCGCTGGACCGCCTCCAACCTGTCAATGCTCTTCTGGGTAAATGGGTCCCAGACTGAAGATGCATAATCTAAAATCGGACGGATAAAGGCTATATATGCTCTTTCTTTCACACAGGAGTTGCCAATCTTTAGATTTCGCCTTAAGAACCCTAGGGTCTTGTTTGCTTGGTTACATACATTGTTAATATGTTCATCCCATCGGACCTCTCTTTGAATGGTAACACCCAGGTACTTTACGGAGGAAACTTGCTCAAGAATATGGCCGTGCAGTTCGTATTGGTAGTGTAGAGGAGTACAACTTCTAGAGATTGATAGTGTCTGGCACTTGGCAGGGTGAAATTCCATGTCCCAGCTCATCTCCCACTCAGCTAACAGATTGAGATCCTGTTGTAGCTGGTCCTGGTCTGATCTGTTGGCGATCGTCCTATACACTGATGTGTCATCTGCGAACAGTCTTGCCTGTGATGTCAGGTTCTCGGGTAGGTCAATAATGTATGCTAGGAACAAACAGGGGCCCAGGACTGATCACCTGGGGGTATACTTTACGTATACTCCCTCTAATGCTTGAAACGTCAAAATCCACAATGATATTATTTTTTTTTCTAATCTATTTCTCTACTTGACTTCTTCCCTAAACAAAACAACACAAAATTTCCTCGCAGCCATCTTCTTTAAAAAAAAATAATAATTTTCAGTATTTATTACAATTGATAATTTTTGATATATGCAAATGTCACCGCACACAACTTTAATAAAACTTATAAGATATTTTACTTAGACTGCGAAGCGAATTGTTAAGACGGTAAAAAAAAAATGATTTCTTATTACAAACTGTTCACAGGCAAAGCATGATAGTTTGTGCTAAAACATAAATTTGGAAACTTCAAAGCTAGAAGGGGAGTTAAAATTTTTTTTGTTTTTTTAGTTTTAACAGCCTCTTCCTTTACCAACTTCGTTCTGATATTATAATATATAAGATGTATTAAATATATTATTATTAATACTACAGTGGTCTTATATAGCGGGTACCCCAGCCTATTAACAAAAAATGAAAACATCTAAACGGTGAGGTTTATATTTGAACGTGGTTTGAGGTCAAGTGTTAAACTCCTTCACACTACGTCCCATGACTTTGTCACAAACTTTTTCATCCGTCAACTGCGTATTGTTATCCATCCTAGAATAATTTTACACATGGAATTTTAACGACGCAATATTGCAAAATCGCTGACTTCATGATCTCAAAAGGTTGTAGAAACAACCCATCAAAACTACATATAAAAAAAAAATTGTCACAAGAAATAGACACCTTCCTAAAACATGGTGCGACCAAGAAAGAAACACGGCCATTAGTATAATGTAAGAAGTAAATCAAATATCCACCTGATTAAATATGCGATGTTGTAGAGAATAGTTTTTCTTGTGAACACTGTAAAATGAAAAAAAAATTAAAAAAACAAAAATTCGACATTTAATTATTGTTGAGCCACACATTGGGATCCGCTAACATATCTGCATTACAAATCGATATAAGCAGTTATGTTAATTAATTGTATTGTTTGCAAGATCCAATCATTTCATACCTGTGGATGATATATTTGAACATAATTTTCTTTCGGGGGCCAAATCAAGCGATCGATTCGATCTGAGTGGATTTATAGAGACGAAGGGGTGAGATTAATCACGTCATTGTAAAGTCTACGTACTGTAAGTCTGCTAGCGCCATCCCAGGTCACGCCCAATCACAACTTCTTTACAGACATACACTTAACAAGGTAAATTAAAATTTCTGTTTTGTCAATATGTTATTCGCTTAGTGAAGACATGTACAAGCAAGGCAAATAGTATAAATAATATTATTTAGTGTGGTCATTGTGCGCCTCATGGCCAGTGTGACTTGATTAAACGCACGGCCGTATAATAGTTGTATAAATATTTGATTGGTGTCTTAAAATACAATACAATTGCCAATAATGATGTTTGTTAAGTTATGCATCATTATTTTACTATTCACCAGGAATGTGCATTTCCATATTAGATTGAACCATTCATATAGAAATACATTAGATTTTTGTGTTCTTCCCAGTCATGGACTTCTACTTTCAATTGGCAAAACAATGGCGACTTGAAGCTCTGAAATCTGAGCTCAAAGTCCCGACCCCCTTTACAACCTTCATATCTCAATAATCTTAACGGCTACCACAAGACTCCACCGCTAATATCACACCCGTACACCACACTAATATCACCACACCCTACAACCTCAACACTATTAACATTACCCTGCCACTAAACCCCTAAGACCACAACCCTGGAGTCCCAACACTACCAACCATCAATGCAAACACACCCCTACAACCGCAATAATATCACCACAACCCCTGCATCACACCCCTAGCACCACACCCCTACATCCCACTAGTGCCACCATATCCCTACCACTACACCCTTACCAATATACCACAATTACCACATCACTACCAAAATATCACCATCACCTTACTAGTACCACCACAATGCTACAACCACGCGCTCACCACCACACCCCTACATCCCAGCTATGCCACCACCACCCTACCACCACATCACTACAACTTCACCTACCTACCTTTGCCATCAAACCCTTACCACCACACCCCTACCCCCACACCACTACCACCACACCACTACCACCACACCACTACCACCACACCACTACCAGCACACGCCTACCACCACGACCATAACCAAACACAACATTACCAGCACAACCCTAAAACCACACCCCACCACAACAACCTTACCACAACACCCATAACACAAAAACCCTAACACCACTCCCCCATCACAACACGCTTACCCCCCAACCCCTAAAAAAACAAGCTTACCACACTGCCCCGATCCCCACAACACAACCACTACACCTACCATCATACCCCTAAATCAACACTCCTACCACAATACCCCTAGCACCACACACATACCACTATACTATAATCATCACACACCTGACAATAAAGCTCAACCACGACAAACTAACCACAGCGAATCTAAAACGACATCCCAACAACATCAATACCAAAAACCCACTTACACCACATCCCTCCCAGCACATCCATAACTCTAAATCACTATTACAACACCTTTAACACCACCAACCCCCCCCCAACAAATACCACAAAACCACTACCACCACACCCCTACCACAACATATCTACAACGACACCCCTTCAAACATAACACTACCAACATACCCTTACAACCACTCCCTTCCCACCGAAACCCTTAAACCACACTCCTACCAACATAAACTTACCACGAAACCCCTACCACCACAAACATACAGACACAACTTTACAACCACACCGTTACAACCACACACCTACCAACATAATATTAACCACACCACTTAAAAAACCATACTTTCAACATTAACCCTCCCAACACTCCCATACAACCAAACCCACATCAGCCCACCCCTACCACAAAACTCCTACCACCACATTCACACCACCACCATCCTCCCAATACACCCATAAAGCCACATCCCGACACCACAACCGTACGACCACACAATTACTCCACATCCTTACACTCACACACCAACCACCAAACCCCAACAACCAAACACACACCATCATACCCCTATCACCACACCCTAACACCCACATACTGCACACATAACCCAACCACAACACCCTTACCACCACACCTAACCCCAACACTCAAACAATCCCACCCCTACCAAAAACCACACCCCTAGGATCACACATCCACCAACACACTCCCACTACTACATCCTTACCACCACACCCCAAGCATCACACACCCACCAACACACTCACATTACTACACCCCTACCACCACACTCATAGCATCACACAGCCACCAACACACTCCCACTACTAGATCCCTACCAACCACATTCCTAGCATCACACAGCCACCAAAACACTCCCACTACTACACCCCTACCACAGCACCCCTAGCATCACACACCAACCAAAACACTCCAACCACTACATCCCCACCCCTACTACGCTACCAACACACACCCACGACCAAAACACCACAACCACCACACCCCTGACCACACCTATAGAACCACACCTCACCACTAAAACCTTAACACAACAATCCTACAACAACACCCCACAACTAAAACTTTAACACAACACCCCTCCCACCAAACCCTACAAACACACCACACCACCAAACCCCCACAACTACAACTCCACCACTATAACCCTATCATCACACCTCTACCACGTCACTTCTAGCGCCATACCCCTACCATTACATCCCATTACTACACCCCTACCACCACACTTCTACCACCATAACCCTAGCACCACAACCCCATCACGACACCCCCACAACAACACCCTTATAATTACAACCCCGCAACCACACCCCTACCACACCGCCCCTACCAACACAACCCTACAACCACAACCCTACCACCACAACCCCACATCCTTACCACCACATCCGCAGCCCTAGCACCACACGCCTACAACAAATACTCCACAACTACAACCCCACCACTACACCCCTACACCCCTACAACCAGAACCCTACCACCAATCCCCTAGGACAAAACGCGTACAATTTGACAGTTAACACAATACTCATATCACAACACCCCCACCACTAATCCTCTCGACCAATCCCATACACCACACCCTTACCCCAACTTGCCTACCACACTCCTAGCAGCTCACCATACCACTTAAACCATAAAACAATACCCATACCACTACACCCTTACCACCTGACCCCTCCCACCACCACACCTACCTAATACTATTACCACCACTCTCTAACCTCACACACTTACCACAACATCCCTACCACCACATCCCTACCACCACACCTTTACCACCACAGCTCTACCACTTGAACTATACCACCACATCTACCAAATACGATTACCACCACTCTCTAACCTCTAACACTTACCACAACATCTCTAGCGCCACAATCCTACAACCACACCCCTACCACCACATCCTTACCACCACACCTTTACCACCACATCCCTACTACCTGACCCCTACCACCAAACCAACCAAATACTATTACCACCACTCTCTAACCTCAACACATTTACAAAAACACCTCTAACACTACACCCCTGCCACCACACCACTACCACCAAATACCTACCACCACATCCCTACCACTACATCCCTACCACCACATCCCTACCAACACACACCTACCACCATTACCCTACCACCAGACCCCTACCACCGCACCCTTACCAACATAACCCTACCACCACATCCCTACCACCACACCCTTACCACCACACCTCTACCACCTGAGCCATACCACCACACCTACCAAAAACTATTACCACCACTCTCTAACCTTACACAATTAACACAACACATCTAAAACCAAACACTACCACCACATCCCTACCACCACACCCCTACCACCACACTCCTACCATCACATCCCTACCACCATATCCCTACCACCACACCCTTACCACCACACCCCTACCACCACACCCCTACCACCACACCCCTACCACCACATCCCTACCATCACATCCCTACCACCACACCTTTACCACCACACCCTTACCACCTGAACCCTACCACCACATCTACCAAATACTATTACCACCACTCTCTAACCTCACACACTTACCACAACACTTCTAACACCACATCCCTACCACCACACCTTTACCACCACACCCTTACCACCTGAACCCTACCACCACATCTACCAAATACTATTACCACCACTCTCTAACCTCACACACTTACCACAACACCTCTACCACTACACCCCTACCACCACATCCATACCACCACATCCCTACCAATACATTCATACCACCACACCCCTACCACCTGACCCCTAACACCACACCTACCAAATACTTTTACCACCACTCTCTAACCTCACGCACTTACCACAACACCTCTAACACCACACCCCTACCGCCACACCCCTACCACCACATCCCTACCACCATATCCTTACAACCACATCCCTACCAACACACACCTACCACCATTACCCTACCACCACATCCCTACCACCACTCCCCTACTACCATGACCTTAACACCACAACTCTACCACCACACCGCTACCACCACATCCCTTCTAACATTCCCCTACCACCTCACCTCTACCACAACAATCCTACAACCACACCCCTACCACCACACCCTTACTACCACACCTTACCACCACACATTTTCCACCAACCCTCCAACATCACACCCCTTCCACAATACCTTACCAACCATTAGAGCTAAAGGTAATGAAGTTCTGCGGAGTTCCTAAACAACAGATCTAAGTAGAGATCTCGCTCATGTCTCAAGCGCAATGAGCTATTGATATTGACGTACAGATAACTTCTTTCACCGTCTCTTTTCTGTGTTTGATTATCTTGCCGTAAAAGTTGATTTTGCTAGTGCTGCGATGAAACACGCACATCAAAAAGCGTAGAAAAGAAAATCCATGCTTGGTTGTAAGCAGGTTTCGACTGTACTCTCTCCTGATTGTAGCATAGTCAACGACATTTCAATGTATTGAGCAAATTGGAATCCAGGATATCCTATTTACCGTGTAAAAGCGAAAAAATGAATTAGTAATTAGAAATTAGCCCTTATCGCAATTCTTCATTAAGATGAGATTGCTAATTTATAACGTCACAATAGATGTAACCAAAGTTCCACTTGAAAATTGAAGTCACCAATAAATTATCAGTTTTTTTGCTTAGGAACTTCACCTATGACAGAGGAAAGATCCTCCTATAAATTTGTCATTAATTTGTGTCGCTTTTAAAGAAAAGCAGACGACGATGGTGAGTTGTTCTCTTCCAAATAAGAAAGTAATTTTCATTATCATTATCATTATCATAGCGTTGACTACCCGTGGAATTCATGCTAGCAGGCTAATCAGTAATGAATTAACAGCAAAACTAACACCGATATTTTTTATTTTATTTTCCTAAGTCTACTCTAAAAGCAGATATATCAAGATATACCAAGAGTTTTTTGTTCTCCTGCATACCGGGTTTCGCTAAGGCTTTTAAGATCTACACTTGTTCCTGGCCTGTTCATTTCATATAATAGCCATTCTCCTCTGCTATCTGTTCCCAACATCTTTGTCCTGAAGTATGCTGCCATTCTTGCACTCTGATTTTTAGGGGGGGGGGTGGGGGGGGGTGGAGGGTGGTTTGATCATGTGGTTTGAAATTTCAGTCTTTTTAAAAAAAATAGAATTTAAACATTAACAGCATGGATAGGGTTCACTCTACATGCTTTCGGCTGAAAGGAAAGGATGGGACATACAATGTTTAAGGCATCTTTTCTAGTTCCTACTTATGCCATGGAGGTAAGCAGTGCTTTCCTAAAGAAGGCTGGTCAGTCGCTGAAGGTACTGACGGACACCACTACTACCTTTTCACAGTAATTGACGCATTGCTGACTCCGCTTTTTTCCCGATAGATCAACTAGTTGTTTGTCCGTGCATTCCTCCGTAAAAGTCTTTATGGGGGGGGGGGTGGAAATCCTTGACCCAAAAATTTAAAAAATTTTCTTACCCTTAACTGGCGGACACCCTTTCTACCTTTTCACAGTAATTGTCGCATTGCTGACTCCGCTTTTTTCCCGATAGATCAACTAGGTGTTTGTCCGTGCATTCCTCCGTAAAAGTCTTTATGGGGGGGGGGGGTTGAAATCCTTGACCCAATAATTTAAATAATTTTGCTACCCTTAACCTCGTCATGCCCGCTAGTCGAACCCTTTATTTCGTGATTGTGGACGCAGTGCATGCTACTGCTACTCGGAGCAAAGGGTGTGATCAGAGCCCACGGTCCGGAAAAAGATTATTTATCTACTGGATTTAAGAATGCTAAAAAAAAAATCACTACCCCACCATAACGTACCCCATTAACTACTATATAAGGTCGTGGACCACATACTCTAACCACGAAAGAAGGCTCAATGGCTTCCACCTCAGATCCCTGCGCCATTCGTTGACATTAAATGGCAAGACAAAGTCCCCAACACGGATGTCCTGACCCAAACAAACATGTGTAGGGTCCCAGCCATGTCAATCCAAAGACGCCTCCGCTGGCTAGGACACGTCTAGCGAATGCAACCTGGTCGCATACCAAAGGACGTGCTATACAGCGAGCTGGCGACAGGGAAAAGGTCAGTTGGACGGCCTCGTCTGAGATACTTAGACCTATGCAAAAGAAACATGAAGTCGGCCAACATCGACATCTCAAACTGGGAGGAGCTGGCAGAGGATCGATCCTCATGGCGGGACATCGTGAAGGCAGGATCACTACATGCCGATGAGCAAAACAGGGCGGAAACAGCAACAGCTGCAAAAAGAGCGAGGAGGAATGCCGGTAAATGCTCTTCCACCGCATTCGTGTGTGGGAAATGTAACAGAGACTACCACTCGAGGATTGGTCACACCAGCCACACCAAGAGCTGCAAGCAATAAAGATAATCTATCGTCTCCCGCAGACGGAAAGATGCCATACATATATATATATATAAATAAATATATATGTATACATATATATTATATATATATATATATATATACTCACACACATATATGAAGAGTTTATTAATGCTTGAAAAACGAAAGGATTGAATCTTACTGGATATGTTCATATGTGTTTTAAGATTTGAGTTTGATACATTTTAAATATAAGACGCTTAACTCTTTGACAACAGACAATTAGCGAAATCCATTAGAAAGTTAAGCATTATAAATTTATTTCTACACCTTTTACATACATACAAAGATCTCACAATCATCTAGTTGTGTTAAAATTTTAAAAGTATTTACAGAAAAAATTTTTTAAAGCATTGCTTTTAAAAAATATTCTACATGTAACATTATTTCTCGTACACAGACAGTCGCAATGGGAACAACAATTGCGATGATCCTTTTGTTTCTGGCACGTATCAATCATCCAGCAATGACAAGTTGTAAGTCAAATGTAATTTAAAAACCTATAATTTATATGTATAACAATTTGACAAGAGTTGTTTTAAAAATATTAACAGATAAAAATAAAATATTTTTTTTAATAAGAAAGCGAAAAATAAAAACAGACCAATGACTTTTTTTTAATGTAGATCTATATCGATAATAAATTTTATTATTATTTTTAAAATTAAAAAAAACAACAAAAAAACTAATTATATTCAGTTTGTGACAATACAAAAAAAAATAAAACTAATTATATTCAGTTTGTGACAATACAAAATTAATACTAATTATATTCAGTTTGTGACAATTAAAAAAAAAAACAACAACAAACAAAACAAATTATATTTAGTTTGTGACAATACAAAAAAAAAATATATTCAGTTTGTTGTTTTTTATAAACGCTAAAATAATTGAAAATAAAAAGTGAACTAATTTAAAGTTGAAGTAGAAAATTATTTGACATTTAGTATACTACATTACTGAACGTAAAAAAAACAAACGGTTCGATGTGTTATTTTCAACTTTAATATAATTTCGATTTTGAAAATAAATCAGATTTTTAAAAATAATGATACAAGATATGTGTATAGTTAAATACAGATAGATAGATAGATAAATAGATAGATAGATATATAGATAGATATATAGATAGATGGATGGATAGATAGATAGATAGATAGATAGATCGATAGATAGATAGATAGATAGATAGATAGATAGATAGATAGATAGATAGTATCTATCTATCTATCTATCTATCTATCTATCTATCTATCTATCTATCTAAGATAGATAGATAGATAGATAGATAGATAGATAGATAGATAGATAGATAGATAGATAGATCGATCGATCGATCGATAGACAGAGTATAATTTAAAAAAAAAAAATATATTATTTACTCCAATAAAACTCATTATCGTTTTAATCATACATTTATTTTAGTTACCTGCAGTTCGTCTGGCGCTGTCAATTCTGCGGGCGCATGTTTCCTGTACAACAGCACTAAACTCTCCTATACAGATGCTAAGGTTAGCGTTACAGGATGTGTCACAGAACGGGTGTTACGAAGAAGCGTTTAGGTCAAGATTTATCACAAACTGTATTGACTTTGTAAGGGTCATTACAGGAAAGCTCCACTCTTTATTTATATTTTGGGTATCTAGATATAGAAAAAAGTACAACGAATACCCAATGAAAACCAAAAAAAACAAACAAACAAAAAAACAACCAAAAACAAAACATAAACTTTATGGTGTCGGATGATGAACTAGTTTGTGTTTAACTCTAAAATAACAAAGCTGTAAATCTCTTGTGTTGGTGCTGTCAACTAATCTGTATTTCTACAACAATGATTCGTCGACGTCATCGTCTCATCTATTCGTACCTTCAAATGGTCAACGGCCGTCCCTTCATTTCTTTTAATTATTCCCTCTCAACTGTTTTCTCTCCGCCTCATGTCACGAAGAGTTCTGTCTTTAAACACGATTCCCTGCCTCCATAGGTGGCCCTGGAATGCTATCTATTAACACATTCCTGGCCCATCATTTCCGGTCAGTTAGGTTATCCCGTCGTTAACCTTAAAATCATGCAAAGTCTGGTAGGCTAGAAACATAATATTATGAAAAGAAACGATCCCCTCCCTCTCAAAGATGTGAGAAGCAACCTCATCCTCCCAACAATTCCCTCTCCCAAAAAAAAAAATCACAACCATTTCCGTCCGAACTATAGATTACCTGAACAACAATTGAGCTCAGTTCAGTATCCCCGCGGCAGTCATTTTTGATAAAATCTTAGGGCTCGTACCGGATTCTAGGCAAAAGGAGATGAACAGAGCTGACTTGAAAGAGTGTTAGAGGATGGACTTCACTTGGTTCCAATAAACGGTGTCAATGGAAAGATAACGTCATTGTGGTGTAGACAGACGTAGTACAAGAGACCAGCAAAGAGCTACACCACCACAAAGCGATGCTGCAGATTTTTATTATGCATGTCACATTGCCACGAACTGCACTAACACACAGTAGTATTACAGATGCCAATGTGCAGGTCCCATTGCCCAGTACTGCACCAACACACGGCGGTGCCACAGATCTCATTCTAAACGTCCCATTGCCCAGTACTGCACCAACACACGGCGGTGCCACATATCTCATTCTACAGGTCACATTGCCCAGTACTGCACCAACACACGGTGGTGCTACAGATCTCATTCTACAGGTCACATTGCCCAGCACTGCATTAACAAACGGCGGTGCTACCAATGTCATTGTGCAGGTCACATTGCCCAAAACTGCACCAAACTAAGGCAATCCCCCATATGTTATTCTGCAGGTCACATTGACAAGTATTGCAGCAACACACGACGATGTTACAGATGTTTGTGCCGGTCACATAGCCAAGTACTGCGATAACACATGGTTGTGCTACATATGACATTGTGCAGGTCACTTTGACCAGTTATGCACTAACACACGGCAGTACTACAGATGTCATAGTGCAGGGCACATTGCCAAGTTCTGTGCTAACCCACGTTGGTTCTACAGATGTTATGCCAATGGTCATCTGGCTCAAGATTGCTGTAACGAGTGCCAGTGTTTTCGTTGTTATGAAAGTGGACACCTAGCCAAAGAATGCAACCGACAATTTAGTCTGTTTTAGCTGTCTACGCCCAGACAACACTGCCATGAGATTTCCAATAGTATTTCTGCCAGAAAATTTCCCCCGTCGGGACGTTTCAGATTTTTGGGGGAATGGTAAGTGACAGTGGCAAGAGGCGTAGCTAAGGGGGAAGAGGGGGACATATGTCCACAGGCAGTATACTATGAGGACAGCTAAATGAGGTTTAATGGTATTTAGTGCATTAAAAATGGGTTCGGGGTTGATAGGGGGGTGAAAATGAATCAATGTCTCCTTGTGCCAAACACTTCAGCTAGTGAGGCGGTTTTGGTGGTCTCCTGAGATGTCAATTTTTCTTTTTATGGACGGGAAATATTTTATATCAAATGCAGAGTTTGCATCGTTAATAGGAACGTGGCATAAGTCTTGGCAAGTCTAGGGTAGAGCCAACACTGGCTACTCCACTAGGTCACTTGTATCAATCAGCATTAACACTAGCTACTCCATATGGCTGTGTATCTATCAGCACTGAAATATTAAATTAAGAAATGGCGTCAGAGGGCCGTCGAGCTTGCGCTCTTTATGCCCTCCCCAAAACACCCCTCCCCAACCCGGTATCGGGGTGCGGAGCGGCACGTCGAGATGTCCTTTTGTCAGGACAGCCCCTACCCGAGTCTGCTTGACCAAGACTCCGCCGGCGGCCGTCCTAACCCAAAGACACCCTGTCGGTCCGACACTTTGTTTGCACACAGTGCACACGATCGACTTTCTCAGGAGTCAGGATGGAAAAATTTACGTCCTAATATCTTCCCCCCCACCCATCCCGTGGAAGCGTTAGATGCCCTATAAGAGGGAGTCTACAGTGGGTTTCCACAACGCAACTAATTCGCGATGTATCTGGGACGAAACGGTTGCCTTGGAGTAGCTTCTCAGGGCTGCATAGTAAGAATCATCGGCCAGAGGTTACCACCTTCGCCTCTCGCCTCATATCTATTAACGGCAACTTGTAATCATGATCCCTACCCTGTCACTGCCTATTGTTCCAGTTGGGAAATATCACTACTGGCAGCCCTGTAGGAGCTGTTTTATGTACGGCAGGTACCGAGCACATCCCTTGTCTGCACACGTAGGACGCGCCCAGTGGTTGTGTTTCCAGGGTAACGTCGAGGGGGTCGGTAGCCGACGCCTCCTAATCGACAGGCCATCTATCAGCACTAAAACTAGCTACTCCACTAGGCTGTATCTATCAGCACTAACGCTAGTTATTTCACTAGGTTGTGTATTTATCAGCACTAACATTTTATATAATAAAAAAAAAACCAAAAAAACTATGACCAGCGCCAGCTGTACTGTTATTTTTGGGGAAAGGATGGCAGAAATTGAGGGTAGTGATGGCTCTCGAGTAAAAGGGTAGGGGTCTAGGAATTTTGGATTATTTCAAAATCAAAAGGTGCATTTTGAAGTATACCGAAATTCAGTTTTTCTCTTAGAATATGGCATCTGGTGCACACTTCTATTGCTGCCCACAGATACTACTTACCAGCTAAGTGCTATTTCTTATGTTTATTTTTATACCGTTTTTTCTGTTGTTTTGTTCGCTGACGAAGGCTTTCTGCCGACACGTTCGCTGTTTTGTTGCGTTGATTTTTGCAGGTTTAGCCCTACTCTGTTTTACTCATTTTAGTTTGTACTAACCTGATTGCAGTCTCCCCCCTTATTACCCCAGTGTTATTAATGTCTTACAATTTGTGATATTCTTAAACAAGAAAAAAAAGAATGCAAATGCAAAGTGTGAACAAGGGGAAGTAAGACTTCGGCTTACAATCAAAAGCGGCAACTGTGATATTTTTAAACAATTACTATAAGCCTTTAACAAAATTAGCATTAAATATACGGATCAGCATTTATATCGAGCGTAGCGATATTTAATCGATTTCACTAATTGTAATCGGTTTATAGCACCAACTACTATTCTTTTTAAAAATGTTTGAAAAATGACACTTGAGTCGTTTTTAATTTTAGAAACATGTTATCGTTCTATTGTTTTTAACCATCTTGCTATTGGGGGGGGGGGGGCAATTGAATTTCCCCGAGTGAGCAATGCCACTTTATTTTTAAAAATTTTTTAAAAATGAAATTTGTTTCGTTTTTAATTTTAGAAACTTGTTATCGTTTTATTGTTTTTAACCATCTTGTTATTGGGGGGGGGGGCAATTGAATTTCCCCGAGTGAGCAATGCCACTCCCTTCCTAGAGAGATGCCTGAAAGAAACACTGGTGTCAAATTCAGAGACAGTGCTACAATTGTCATCTGCCCGGCCATGCCGTGGGGCATTGGTCAGTTGTCCGTGACATAAAGGAAGATGGAAATTCTATTTGTTCTGAAGGGAAAACGACAGCCATGCGCTCTAGGTCAGGACATAAAAAGAAGTGTGTAGAGAATAGAGAAGAAAGGTATATCCTTAGAACAAAAGGAGAATAATCAGGCACACATAATGAAGAACGGAGAAGAGAGAATACCAACGCAGTGAAGATATTTTTCTTATTGGAGGGATTTGGATTGTCCCTGGAGTAAAGAAAAGTCACTACTGTAGATGACAGCAAGTTGACAGAAGAAAGGTGCACGGTCGTGTTAATAAATGATGCAAGGCTACAGGGAGAGAAGGCGATAGTAACCCATACATTTCAGGAAAGGTTGAAGTAGTTTACATTTCCGACATTGCTTAGGTTGTGAAAGTGGGAAAGTAGGTGAGGACTCTGCGTGTCAGGATGTTAGTGATGATAATTTCGAGGTGGCCTAGATCAGTGGTCTACTAAAAATACCAAATAAACAAATCAACTAAACAATTCAACGAAACAAACTAACTAAAAAACTCAACTAAACACATAAACTAAACAAATCACCTAAAAAATCAACTAAAAAATCAACCAAACACATCAACAAAGGAAAGCAACTAAAAAATCAACTAAACACATCATCAACAAAACAAATAAACTAAATACATCAACTAAACACATCATCAACAAAACAAATAAACTAAATACATCAACTAAACACATCATCAACAAAACAAATAAACTAAATACATCAACTAAACACATCATCAACAAAACAAATAAACTAAATACATCAACTAAACACATCATCAACAAAACAAATAAACTAAATACATCAACTAAACACATCATCAACAAAACAAATAAACTAAATACATCAACTAAACACATCATCAACAAAACAAATAAACTAAATACATCAACTAAACACATCATCAACAAAACAAATAAACTAAATACATCAACTAAACACATCATCAACAAAACAAATAAACTAAATACATCAACTAAACACATCATCAACAAAACAAATAAACTAAATACATCAACTAAACAAATCATTTAAAAAATCAACTAAAAAATCAATAAAACACATTAACTAAACAAATCAACTAAACAAACTAATTAAACAAACCAACTAAAAAAATCAACTCAAAAATCAACTAAACACATCAACTAAACAAGGGAACTAAAATAATAAACTAAACACACCAACTAAACACATCAACTAAACAAAACTAAATACTTCATGTAAAAAATCAACTAAAAAATCAACTAAACACATCAACCAAATCAACGCAAATAAAATATCAACTAAACACATCAACTAAACCAATCAACTTAACAAATCAACTAAACAAACCAACTAAACAAACCAACTAAACAAATCAACTAAAAATCAACTAAACACATCAACTAAACAAGAGAACTAAAAAAATCAACTAAAAATCAACTAAAAATCAACTAAACACATCAACCCTATCAAAGCAAATAAAAATATATACTAAACAAATCAACTAAAAAATCAACAGAACACATCAAATAAACAAGGGAACTAAAAAATCAACTAAACACATCAACTAAACATATAAACTAAACACATCAACAAAGAAAACAACTTAGAACATCAATAAAGCAAATACAAAAATTAACTAAACACATCAACTAAACAAATCAACTAAACACATCAACTAAACAAATCAACTAAACAAATCAACTAAAAAACTCAACTAAACGCATCAACTAAAAACATCAACTAAAAAAAATGAACTAAACACATAAACTAAACACATCAACTAAACACATCAACTGAACACATAAACTGAACACATCAACAAAGAAAACAACTAAGCACATAAAAAAGAAAATAAAAAATCAACTAAACACATCAACTAAACAAATCAACTAAACAAAACAACTAAAAAACTCAACTTAACGTATCAACGAAACACATCAACTAAACACATCAACTAAACATTCTTGCGTTAAAAGCCTTAAAGTTTGTTTAATTAAAATAACAATTTATAATTTTTCTATACAATATTTTTCCATCAGAGTGCATGTGACACGATAGGTGGAGTTCTGGCAAAGGTGGTGAACACGTTACAAATTGTGTCCATACCAGACGCAAGTAAGTATATACGGAGAGATTATATTATTTTTATGTCTGCTTTTATGAGCAATGTGTTCGGGTGAGGTAAAGTTGATGATCTGCTCAAGGTGTGAGACCTACTGAATATTCATGTTTTTTTCATCCTAGGTGTCGTTTACTTTTACTTAGCAGATGCACCGCATGTGTTGTCATTTAAGGTGTCTTTCACTTAGTTGATGTACCACCTGTGTTGTCATCAAAGTTGTCTTTAACACAATAGATCACGTACTGTACTACCATTTTAACACAGAAGATGCACCGCCAATGTTGTCAGCCTTTGGTCCTGAAATTGGATAACCTGAAATTGTAAGGTGTCTTTGCAGTAGATCGGCTGGACGATCCACTTTAAGCCAATCTAATGTCTGATTAACACGGCACCAAATGGATCGAATGTGTCATGATAAGATAAAATAAGATTCTTTCATTGATTCAAATAAATGCAAATGTTTTTTTAATTGCATTATACATTTTCATAAATAAAACATTTTTAGCCCAATACATTTATAATAAATTATTTCAAATAGTCATTCAGTGAGTTCTCTTTGCCAAATCGAGGTCTTATTAGTTCTCATGAAGATGTGTGACTTGTGACTTCAGAGTGAGCACGCCGGTAAATTCGTACAGATTGGGGAACAAAATAATTTTTATATCTTTCAGTCTTCGCCCTGATGGAAAGAATTCGTCCCGAACGGCCCGACCTAAGTATTTGTGGTAAAGAGGGTGGGATGTATCATCCAAAATTTGTTTAGTTTTACAATGAAATCTTTCTTCAAATAGCTCTTCAACTGAAGGATGTTTAGTTTGTGTTATGTTCCTAGCTTTCTTGATTAGTCGGTTTATGCGGTGTTAATATCGGACGTTGAATTCCCACACCAGCAGGTAATACTCAAATTAAGTAGGCTTCCAACTGTTGCACTGTAAACTAAGTTTATGACTTGCCTGTTTACGCCAAAATTGTACAGTTTTTGAGTTAGAACAGTCTTTGGTTGAATTTCTTATACAGTATTTGGCCATGTCCACGCCATGTTAGCTTATTATTAATGGTGACACCTAAGTACTTGTACGCCTCCACTTTCTCTACACTTTGATTTTTTATGTTGAGATCTGTAATCTGGTGTTTCGCCCTCCTGAAATAAATAACAATTTCCTTTGTTTTTGAGACACTCAGCTGGAGAAAATTATCATCGCACCAATTGATAAAGCTTATAACTAAATTGCGGTATAGGCCTTCTCCTACAGATATTAAGCCAAACAACGATGGTATCATCAGCAAATTATAAGATTGGAACGGTGTCTCTTGAGCTTTGAATATCATTTGGTAAATATTGTATACAGTTCAGAAGAGAGAATGCAGCCTTGTGGTGCCCCTGTGCTTATTTCTCTTGTTAGAGATACTTGGCCATTTACTTTGATATATTGCGGTCGATTTGTTAAAAAGTTCAGTATCCAAGCCTGACTATTTAAATTGACACCTAACGAGGAACGTTTCTTTATCATAAGGTGTGGTTGGATAGTGTTAAATGTTGATGAGAAGTCTAAGAAAAGAACTCTGGCATATGTTTTAGGATGATGTTAAAGTCTCTCCAACAATAGTAAGATTGCATCCTCCGTACTTCTGGCAAGTTTGTAAGCAAATTGGTGGAGGTGAAGTTTTTGCTGTAATTCATTCAAAATTTCTTTCAGAATTATATCTCAAAACATTTCATTACTATAGAGGTAAGTGCAACAGGTCGTAAGTCGTTGTTGCATGTTCCCTTATTTTTCTTTGGGATTGGTATGATTTCTGAAGTTTTCCAAATTGCTGGTATTGTGTGAGTTACATAAGATTTATTAAATATGTAACAAAAAAAAATGTAGGAGGGCTGCTCTGCGCATAGTTTCATGAGCCGACCACTTACTTTGTCTGGTCCCGAGGCTTGACTGCGTCCACTTGATTAAATTGGTCCTGAAATTGGAATACGGCTGGCCTTAAATATTTCCGCACATTTGAATAGTTTTACCTCCGGACCTTGATTAGAGCTCAGACAATACGATGGATAGGTTTGAAATAAAATATCTCCTGTTAGCATCTTATTTATTATAAATAGATTGTTGTTGTTGTATTTTTAAGGGGCCGGGGGGTGAGGATATTTTATCGCTAATTGCATTTGCCATCTGCACTTTTTTCTTTATCATCATCTCCATCCATTATGTCCTTTTTTAAAATATAATCTTCATGCACATTTTATGACAGATAATTGACAACAGCTTACCACTGAAATCGATGTTCATTGTACTGCAGCATGACCTTCTTACATAACATCTGTAAAATCAGTGGTTCTTAACCTGGGTTCAATCGAACCCCAGGGGTTCGGTGAATCAGTCTCAGGGGTTTGGCGGAGGTCTAATAAAAATCAGAAAAAAAAATCAAATGTTATTTTTTCCTATTATGACGGGTTTGGTGAATGCGCATGTGAAAATGGTGGGGTTCGGTATCTCCAACAAGGTTAAGAACCACTGTGTANTATATATATATATATATATATATATATATATATATATTATATATATATATATATATATATATATATACTGATTTACTAAACTATCGAACGTCATGTCACTATTATTTCAAATCTCATGTCATTTTAATGTCATCAAAAAAGTCTTATTACAATTTATTTTCAAATTCTCCTGCAAAATTTTTAAGACCTATATAGCTATGACACTTAAATTAATCTTGTTCCGTCGTCTCTCTCATCCCCTCTTCTGAGTTGCAACTTGACTGACGTCTTTTTAAGATATCTTTACACAATTCAAGATATCTCAACTATACTTAATTTTTCACTATTCAAATATGTTTGATTAAAAATGTTCTTTACCTTACGCCCTATGATATGCGGTTGGCCATGTAACTCTCTGCTTACATTTTGGAAAACGTTTACCCCGCCACTACAACAAAATCCGAATATTTCCGTAAGTTGAAAAGAAATCGTTTGGAAAAAAAAAATAGACATTCAGTCCCCGCACTATTTTTTTTCTTTTTTCTATTTCATCTATCATATGTTTCGTTGAATTAGACAATATGAGATTGTGATAAAATATCATATGTTTCGTTGAATTAGACAATATGACATTGTGATAAAATATCATATGTTTCGTTGAATTAGACAATATGACATTGTGATAAAATATCATATGTTTCGTTGAATAAGACAATATGACATTGTGATAAAATATCATATGTTTCATTGAATAAGACAATATGACATTGTGATAAAATATCATATGTTTCGTTGAATAAGACAATATGACATTGTGATAAAATATCATATGTTTCGTTGAATTAGACAATATGACATTGTGATAAAATATCATATGTTTCGTTGAATTAGACAATATGACATTGTGATAAAATATCACATGTTTCGTTGAATAAGACAATATGACATTGTGATAAAATATCATATGTTTCGTTGAATTAGACAATATGACATTGTGATAAAATATCATATGTTTCGTTGAATTAGACAATATGACATTGTCATAAAATAGCATATGTTTCGTTGAATTAGACAATATGACATTGTGATAAAATATCATATGTTTCGTTGAATTAGACAATATGACATTGTGATAAAATATCATATGTTTCGTTGAATTAGACAATATGACATTGTGATAAAATATCATATGTTTCGTTGAATTAGACAATATGACATTGTGATAAAATATCATATGTTTCGTTGAATTAGACAATATGACATTGTGATAAAATATCATATGTTTCGTTGAATTAGACAATATGACATTGTGATAAAATAGCATATGTTTCGTTGAATTAGACAATATGACATTGTGATAAAATAGCATATGTTTCGTTGAATTAGACAATATGACATTGTGATAAAATAGCATATGTTTCGTTGAATTAGACAATATGACATTGTGATAAAATAGCATATGTTTCGTTGAATTAGACAATATGACATTGTGATAAAATAGCATATGTTTCGTTGAATTAGACAATATGACATTGTGATAAAATAGCATATGTTTCGTTGAATTAGACAATATGACATTGTGATAAAATAGCATATGTTTCGTTGAATTAGACAATATGACATTGTGATAAAATAGCATATGTTTCGTTGAATTAGACAATATGACATTGTGATAAAATATCATATGTTTCGTTGAATTAGACAATATGACATTGTGATAAAATATCATATGTTTCGTTGAATTAGACAATATGACATTGTGATAAAATATCATATGTTTCGTTGAATTAGACAATATGACATTGTGATAAAATATCATATGTTTCGTTGAATTAGACAATATGACATTGTGATAAAATAGCATATGTTTCGTTGAATTAGACAATATGACATTGTGATAAAATAGCATATGTTTCGTTGAATTAGACAATATGACATTGTGATAAAATAGCATATGTTTCGTTGAATTAGACAATATGACATTGTGATAAAATAGCATATGTTTCGTTGAATTAGACAATATGACATTGTGATAAAATAGCATATGTTTCGTTGAATTAGACAATATGACATTGTGATAAAATAGCATATGTTTCGTTGAATTAGACAATATGACATTGTGATAAAATAGCATATGTTTCGTTGAATTAGACAATATGACATTGTGATAAAATAGCATATGTTTCGTTGAATTAGACAATATGACATTGTGATAAAATAGCATATGTTTCGTTGAATTAGACAATATGACATTGTGATAAAATATCATATGTTTCGTTGAATTAGACAATATGACATTGTGATAAAATAGCATATGTAAGCAACTTAATCTGTTATACTGTAACACTTAAAATATCATATGTTTCGTTGAATTAGACAATATGACATTGTGATAAAATAGCATATGTTTCGTTGAATTAGACAATATGACATTGTGATAAAATAGCATATGTTTCGTTGAATTAGACAATATGACATTGTGATAAAATAGCATATGTTTCGTTGAATTAGACAATATGACATTGTGATAAAATATCATATGTTTCGTTGAATTAGACAATATGACATTGTGATAAAATAGCATATGTTTCGTTGAATTAGACAATATGACATTGTGATAAAATATCACATGTTTCGTTGAATTAGACAATATGACATTGTGATAAAATATCATATGTTTTGTTGAATTAGACAATATGACATTGTGATAAAATATCACATGTTTCGTTGGATTAGACAATATGACATTGTGATAAAATATCATATTAGATATATACTGAGATTGTACCACCCTCTGCACACATCTTTCAGCTTTTCTTCCTGCCCTGGCGGAGGTTTTGATTAAATTCATGAACATACTTTTTAAGGTTTATATTGCGCCATATTACAATTGTCCTGAATGCATTAACATTGCAGACAACAAAGTGTGGATCGGTGCCAACGATGATGTAAATGAGGGAACCTGGGTTTGGGAATACGACGGTAATGTTGCCAGAGAGTTGCGCTTGCTTTGGACAGTCGGACAACCAACCAACGATACGGGCGTAAACTGTGCACTCGTTTACAAATTTGAAATTTATGCAGATGACTGTGAGAGCCAGTATGCTTTTCTGTGTGGGGAGCCAGGTGATTTCAATGTGATTGTTAAATTGGCAACGAAGTGCACAGAGTGAAACAAATGATCCCCGAAGCTTACACAAATAACAGCATTGTTTCTATTATCTGTTTCAATTTAAAAAAAAAAAAATTACCATCAAACGAATGTACCCGAATTAAGTTATCATTTCACTATTTATTAGCATTACAATACAGTTTGAAATAAATGTATCATCCATAAAGTTATCACATGGGTGTAAATGTATTCTATATTATAAAACATTAACTAATTGCTAGCATAAATAGACTTTGGAAAAAATATAAATGTAGTATAGACTCCAAAAAATCAGAACAGCATAAGGTATCTCTCATTACATAACAGTTTGTTATTATAAATAAAATGTAGATCTTTTAAATGCTGTATGGCCTTTAATGTTGTATTACAAGAACTCTAACTTTATTTTTTTTTGAAACTGTTTCAGTGTGCGAGTTTAAAAGAGATAATCTAAGTCCAATATAGAAGAGATATAAGGTACGAATTAGAAAGATCCCAATAAAGAAATCTTAAAACTAATATTCCCATATTTGACAGCTCCAGATCCGGTGACTTCGACAAGCACAGCAATCGACCCTGCCACCACCAACGCTGCAGCATCCATAACTCACACAACCGCTACAACTCCTGCAGCGTCTATACCCCAGACATCCACCACACCAATAACTACCCTGTTGAAATGTGGCGCAAATGACATCAAATTCAATGTTCTATTGATTTTACATGTATGCGTGTTCATTCATCTAGCAATTTGAATTTAAGTGAGTTGTTTTTTATTTCTTCAGTTTTTTTTTTTTTTTTTGGCTATACGGAAAATGATTTAGAACTTTGTCAGACTTTCATACCACATTTTCTAAGAAATAGAAAGGCCACTTCAGAGTGTGTGAGTTCAATTATCTAATAGTTTGATTTTTGATTTTAACTTATAATTTTTGTAAACTCTTTTTAATTGATACTATAAAGATTTTTACAGTTTTTTTTTGGTAGTTTTTTTTTTATTTTGTTTTTTTTGAAAATCGGGGGGAAGTGGGGAATGGCTCTACATTAGCAAACAATAATGTCTACAATGGTTTAAAAGGGAGAGCAATGTAAATCGTAAAGTGATTCACTTAAAATGTTTGTTAGCCATGAGCAATTTAGCAAGCAAGCTCATTATTTAAAACAATGTCCAAGGAGAAATGTTGTTTTTAATAGAATTTTGTTTTAAACTCTTTTAAACCAAAACTGAAAAAAAAAAATAATAATAATATTAAATTTGTTTCCATTGCACAGTTATTTGTTTCATTCTCTTTAGAAAACGTTTTTTTTTTTTTTTAAACTTTTATTTAAAAAAAAAATACTTTTTAAGGAATATTTTTACATTTCTTGTAATAAAATTAATATAAAACAACCAAATTTGTATTCAATTTTCCAAATAATGATACTCTTTTAAACCAAAACTGAAAAAAAAAAATAATAATAATATTAAATTTGTTTCCATTGCACAGTTATTTGTTTCATTCTCTTTAGAAAACGTTTTTTTTTTTTTTTAAAATTTAATTTAAAAAAAAAAATAAAAATAATATTAAATTTGTTTTCATTTCATAGTTATTTGTTTTATTTTCTTTAGAAAACGTTTTTTTTTTTTTTTTAAACTTTTATTTAAAAAAAAAATACTTTTTAAGGAATATTTTTACATTTCTTGTAATAAAATTAATATAAAACAACCAAATTTGTATTCAATTTTCCAAATAATGATTTTTAAAATATTTTTCTTCACACTTCATTTTTTTTACTGTTTTAACTACAAATTTAAGACACTTGCTTATGTTTGTGGTGTAACAGAATTATCCATATGTAATCATAATCCAATGTGTTATTTAAAAAGAGAAAACACGATTTGAACAAATTTGGAACTTGTAATTACCAAAAAACACGAAACATTTTTCTGTTCTGTAAAATAGTTAATGCCAAAAAATGTTAGTGAACTTTAGAATCTGTTTGTTAACCAATATTTTGGAACGATTTTCATCCCATAAATTAGTTACAGAGTTCACATCATCCGATATGAATCTTGGTTACATTCTTTCTGACAACATGTACAGTGGAACCCCACTATAACGCGATGATCGGGGTCCATAAAATCGGATCGCGTTAAAAGCGGGGTTGCGTTCTTAGCACAGCGGGAATCCCTTACGTATTACTATTTACAGTTCTACCGGAAGAAAGCCTCGTTTTCGGCATTAATTTTGATACTAGTTTGAACGTGGTGCGTTTAGGGGCTCATTTGCTACGATATTTTGAAAAGTTGTGATTTTTTTCGCTTTAAAAAATGGCTTTCCAATCAATGGATACAATTTTCAAAGAAGTTACGCCTGATGGAGTAAATGAATTTCAAATTTCGGGAGCCATGCTACGACCGTGTGATATGTGAATTCGCGTTATGGCGGGGCGCGTTATTGACTATTGTAACTCACTTCATTCATATTCACCACCACATTCCATAGAAAAAACTGCAGACATGTTAAAACTCAGCTGCTGGGTTAGTTCTAAGGTCAAAGAAACATGATCACATCACTCCACTACTTCCATCACTTCATTGGCTCCCTATACCGGCACGCACTGAATACAAGCTGTCTGTTCTCTGGCACAAATTTTCTCTTTTTCTTGTCCTCCCTATCTAACTGAACTTCTTAATGTCTATTTACCCTTTCTTTCTGTTCCCAGAACACGAACTAAAACATACGGTGAGCGATCTTTCTCTTTCTGTGCCCAAAAAACAATGGAATTCTCCAATAACATATCCGCAATATAACGATCATCTCAGCCTTCAAAACTGTTCTCAAAACCCATCTCTTTAAACTGTACTTTAACGACTTTTTTTCCTCCCCGTTTGACCGATAAACAATGCTCGAATCTGCTGGGTTCTGTCCATGACTGGAAGATTATAGGTGGTTAGGTCAAGCTTTTCACCAATTTTTGGATTTGAATATAAACGTTTCTGTAATTGCTAATTTAGGCTGGGGTACTGCAGGGATCCTAGCCATAGGCTGGGGGTACTGCGTTATATAAAAACCAACTAATAATAATAATAATAATAATCAAAATAAAACACGAACAAATTAAGTCAGGTGCAATTAAAAATATAATATCAAAATAGAGAAGGATATATTGATATTTAATTTAAATAATCCCATCTTTGATTACGATATCAGGTCTATCTTATTTAAAGTAAATGATTCCTGAAGTAGATTCTCTATTAATTTGACGATAAGTGTGATTGTCGAGATTTAAGGGTGAAATTAACTCTTCAATTGTTTTAAGTGCTAGGTTATCTCTACCAAAATAACGCTCTTCAGGTCCTCTGAGCAAACACAGCTAGCCTAGCTCCCTGAGCAAACACAGCTAGCCTAGCTCCCTGAGCAAACACAGCTAGCCTAGCTCCCTGAGCAAACACAGCTAGCCTAGCTCCCTGAGCAAACACAGCTAGCCTAGCTCCCTGAGCAAACACAGCTAGCCTAGCTCCCTGAGCAAACACAGCTAGCCTAGCTCCCTGAGCAAACACAGCTAGCCTAGCTCCCTGAGCAAACACAGCTAGCCTAGCTCCCTGAGCAAACACAGCTAGCCTAGCTCCCTGAGCAAACACAGCTAACCTAGCTCCCTGAGCAAACACAGCTAGCCTAGCTCCCTGAGCAAACACAGCTAGCCTAGCTCCCTGAACAAACACAGCTAGCCTAGCTCCATGAACAAACACAGCTAGCCTAGCTCCCTGAACAAACACAGCTAGCCTAGCTCCCTGAACAAACACAGCTAGCCTAGCTCCCTAAGCAAACACAGCTAGCCTAGCTCCCTGAACAAACACAGCTAGCCGAATGCAAATCTGTCTGTTAACTTAATACGTTAAGAACAATTTGTGTCTTTATATATCATTATATATATTGATGTTCTTTTCGCCAAACAGTTTTTACGAAATATGACTGGAGGCCAACAAAAAAAAAACTACTATAATGAATTTTATTAATTGTAATTTTATATATCTGTGAGTTTTTATTTATTATAAGTTGTCGTGTAAAATTAATAAAGACACCAAGAATTTTTTCCTTTGAATCTCAAAAAAATTATGTTAAATTTTTTTTTACTTACATCTTACTTAATATGTGGCAAGCTAACTCAATCCCCCCAATAATTCAACGTCATGTCACGATAAAAATCCATATAAATCAAATCATTTTCATTAAAAAATTCAATAAAGTTTCCAAATTTAAAATGATCATTGTCTCTTCCAACTATATTGATTTCTATCACATTAAAGGGATAAATTATCTGTTCTAAAATAAATGTATTTCTTCGAGTAATTTACTTTTCTATGTTGAACTAATAAATAGTTGTAATATTTTTAAATTCCCTACGGTTCTTTTTCTTATTATATTAGTATTTTAGTGTACGTTATGGAATGTTAATTAGAAATAAGCCTATCCAATTTCATACAAAAAATAAATAACATAAATTCACACAAAAAATTTTTTTTGTTGAAACTATTCATAATGTAAAATAATGTTAATAAAAATGTTTATTTTGAAACCGTTATACAAGTGACTAAATTAATGGTCATTCAGAGTGAGTTTTTTAACCAATAGACGAAAAATTACAATTAATATAAATATCAAATATAAAGTGCAACTTGAATGTTTAAAGTCTCTTTAAAGATAAAGTCAATAAATGCAATTTTTATCACTGTGCACACACAAAATTAGTAGCTTTTGATACTTTAAATTTGCACTCTATGCACATGCTTACATAGCTAGGCTCTCCCGCATATATAGCAATAAAGGATCACTGCACATACATAGCTAGCTAATCGCTCTCCACAACCATAGATAGCAAGGCTCACTGCACAAACACAGTTAAACAGACTCTCTGCATCAATATAGCTAGCTTGGTTCTCTCACCAAACATAGCTAGACAGACTTTCTTCACAAACATAACTAGCTTGACTCCCTCAAGAAACATTGATACCCAGGTTCTCTGCACAAATATACCCAGACTGGCTACCTCTACAGACATAGCTAGCCAGGCTACATGCAAAAAAATATTCACTGAATAAGAAAGGTAGCCAAGCTCTCTACACAAACATAGCCAGCACTGATCTCTGAAACAAACATAGCTGGTTAGGCTCACTCCACACAAATCGCTATCCAGGATCTCTTTACAAATTTAACTAGCCAGGCTCTGCACAAACACAGATAGCCAAGCTCCAGTAGAAACATAGCTAGCTAGGCTCTCTGCAAAATATAACATGCAAGGCTCTTTGCTAAATAAAACTTGCCAGGCTCTCTACACAACCAGACTTTCTACACAACCAGGTTTTCTACACAACCAGACTTTCTACACAGCCAGGTTTTCTACACAACCAGACTTTCTACACAACCAGGCTCTCTGCACAACCAGAATTTCTACACAACCAGGCTTCCTGCACAACCAGACTTTCTACACAACCAGGCTCTCTGCACAACCAGACTTTCTACACAACCAGGCTTTCTACACAACCAGGCTTTCTACACAACCAGGCTTTCTACACAACCAGGATCTCTGCACAACCAGGCTTTCTACACAACCAGGCTCTCTGCACAACCAGACTTTCTACACAACCAGACTTTCTACACAACCAGGCTTTCTACACAACCAGGATCTCTGCACAACCAGGCTTTCTACACAACCAGGCTCTCTGCACAACCAGGCTTTCTACACAACCAGGCTCTCTGCACAACCAGACTTTCTACACAACCAGACTTTCTACACAACCAGGCTCTCTGCACAACCAGACTTTCTACACAACCAGACTTTCTACACAACCAGGCTCTCTGCACAACCAGGCTTTCTTTACTATAATTTAATTATTTTTAAATTTTAATGAAAAAAAACAAAAGTTCCCTTTTGTATGACTCTTTGATTTTCTTTAACTCATCCACAGCCAACTGTTTAAAAAAAAATAATTATCCATGGATTGTTTTCCATTTTTCACTCTATAAAAAAAATAAGTTAAAAAAAATAGTACCAAAAGTTGAATTCATGGACAAATCGAAAAACATTTAAAAAAAAACAAACAACAAAACCACAACTGAGGTAACGTTATGTCCGCAAAACTTCGAAAAAAAGATATTTCAAGATTCAATAACAATATTGGCAGCATGGAACCCTTAGAAGCGTGAGACCTCCTAAAAGCACGAGGCCTTGTTCAAGTGCCCAGTGTGCCCATGCCTTAAGACGGCACTGTAGTGGTCAAGGCGTCATTCAACTATTCCGGTTTAAGAGGCGGTATCCCTACACTTATGGTTCAAAGTATGAACTTTTATTATTACGTAACATTGGTGGAGTCTAAGAAAATAATACTCAACATGTTTTCAGAACGTTATTTACCCATTTGGAAACGAATCATATTATTTCTAAAAAAATACCATTAAAAAAACTTTCATATATCCATACAATGATACTAACGCCTAAAAGTTATTTATAAAAAAATATTTTAAAAACTTTCATATATCCATACGAAGATTCTAAAACCTAAAAATTATTTCCCTTCAAATTCTTTTAAACAAGAAAATAAATTTCAAAACTTTATTTCCATAGTTTTAGTTAGCAGTTAAACGTAAGGGATTTAATACCAATACGAACTGCATGGCCATATACTTGAGCCAGTTTCCTCCGTTAAGTACCTGGGCGTTACCATTCATAGAGAGGTCCGCTGGAGCGAGCATATTAGCAATGTGGGCACCAGACAAAAGAGACCCGGGGTTCTTAAGGCGTAATCTAAAGATTGAAAACACCAATGTGAAAGAAAGATTTCTCCGTCCGGTTTTAGATAATGCATCTTCAGTCTGAGACCCATTTACCCGGAAGAGCATTGACAGGTAGGACGCTACAGGAATATCTCTAGTGTTGGCAGCATGCTGGAAACACTAGGTTAGTCACCATTGGAGGAACAACGACGACAAAGCAGGCTCTCTATAATTTATAAGATTCTACTGCTCAAGCACTAAACAGAAACTCGTCCCTCTCCCCAATAGACAGCAATAAGGCCATGACATGCAATTTTGGCTCATACCAGCAAGAAGCCAGTATAGGAGCTTCTCATTCCTGCCCAAGACAATCAGAAACTGGAACAAGTTTTCAAAAGGAACGGTTGAGGCGACAACACTTGACACATTAGCGTCTTTTGGCTCAAGCCTTTCAGCCCCAGTGCATGATACCCACACAAAGTAGCCCTTGCTGCTAGTGAAATATCCTCAACAACACCAGGAACAGAAACATTGCAAATCCCCTCTTCATGCATAGAAGCATAAAATAAATTGACCTTGGGCCCTTTAGATATAGAAGAAGATGACATTTTGCAGGTTTTTTTGCCTTTAGTTTGAGATACACTTTTATAAACGTAAACATTGAAAAACAATATTTTAAGGAAATAAAGCTGAAAGTAAACAAAGCAACTTTATAAAAGAGACTATCTAAACTATATTTTTATGTATCTAAATATGTTTGTATGGGGCAATCACTAAGCCTGCTCCATACTTAAGACGCCCCGCGACAAGGAATCCAATATTTTTAGGCAATGTCTTAAATTTATCCGAAGGACACTTGAAATGACGTAAACAGACGTGTAGCATTTTATCGATCCTAGTCCATGAAGATAACAACACTTTAGCCACTGAACGTAATGGGCAACTTGGGCATCTAAATACACACCTAAGCCACTAATCGTAATGGACAACTGGGGCATCTAAATACACACCTAAGCCACTGATCGTAATGGACAACTGGGGCATCTACATACACACCTAAGCCACTGATCGTAATGGACAACTGGGGCATCTACATACACATATAAGCCACTGAACGTAATGGACAACTGGGGCATCTACAGACACAGCTAAGCCACTAAACGTAATGGACAACTGGGGCATCTACAGACATGTAATGGGCAACTGAGGCAACTAAATACACACCTAAGCCACTGAACGTAATGGACAACTGGGGCATCTAAATACACACCTAAGCCACTGATCGTAATGGACAACTGGGGCATCTAAATACACATATAAGTAACTGAACGTAATGGACAACTGGGGCATCTACAGACACAGCTAAGCCACTAAACGTAATGGACAACTGGGGCATCTACAGACACAGCTAAGCCACTAAACGTAATGGACAACTGGGGCATCTACAGACACAGCTAAGCCACTAAACGTAATGGACAACTGGGGCATCTACAGACACACCTAAGCCACTGAACGTAATGGACAACTGGGGCATCTACAGACACAGCTAAGCCACTAAACGTAATGGACAACTGGGGCATCTACAGACACACCTAAGCCACTAAACGTAATGGACAACTGGGGCATCTACCACATCAAAATGCTATAACAAGATATAATTAGATTATAAATAAGCAG